ACTTCGTCTTTTCTTGATGTATGATGCATATTGCATTCTTTTGTTCGCAAACTTAGGGATTGCTGTCTAAAGACTTAGGAGAAAGCAAAACAATATTTGGAGGATAGATAAATCCTGAGGACTTTTGACAAGTCCTTTGTTTCACTGGCTAATAATGAACATTCATGTTTCAAGACTGTTTAGAATTTAACTTCCAGCTGTGGGAGTAACAAATGAAATTATGCAACTTTGGTAACATTTTTTCCTCAAACATAAATTTACTTTTGAGATCGAACAGGATTTTGTGTGTGTTGGGGGGTTTAATTTAAAGAAAGATCTAAGCCCAAGTCCCATTTTCTGCACTTAAAAGATACAACTGTGTAAAATCCTTCTCTTAGATATAAATATTTTAGTTCATTTTTATTTAAAACATTGTACTATTTTACTTTTATGGTGGTGGGAATTTGCTACTAATACAAGGATAAAAAAAATATTTCACAGGCATTCCACTGGGTTTAGAGTCTGTCACAAGAGTGCCATATTCTAGCTACTGTATTTATTTACTTTATCCTGCAATGTGTAAGCGGCTCAAGTACCTTGTGCTACAGTTTTTTTGTATCCCGAGTTTTGGTTTTTTTTTTGCACAGGATGTGACCGCTGTTGGATCACTGTTTTTCTTTTCTTTTTGTGATTGAAAAGCCTATACTGCAATTTGAAGTAAATGTTTGCTTTTCTTTAAAGTGTGTTGTCTCTTTGTTTTAAAAGAAACTGGCATTTACACCAGATTAGCATGCTTGTTTTGATATAATTTTAGATACAGGCATGTCTTGCTTCGTATTTACTTTGGCTTATGACTGTTAGATCACTTGAGTGGTTATAAGACAGTACTGTTATTTAAATTATTTGTAGTGTATTGAATTAGAAAGTGAATGCACTAATCATCACTCTAATGGCAAAAACCCACCCCTCTTTCAAAGAAGCTTGGTTTTCCTTCCTCTTCCTTCTTGCACTCTGATCATAAAAATAAACTTTTACTGGTAGTGTAACTTAAAATTTTAACCTATAGAATGACTTTGTGTGGCTAGAAAAGCTTTATAATAGATTTGTGTCTTGATCTGTTAAAAGCATTTTAGTATTATATATTTTTAATATATGATAATGTCTGAATACTCATAATATTCACTAATTGGAAACGGTGTTCTTCCTCAAAATAGAATTGCAGCTGTTGTCATCAGTGTCCTCTCCTCAGAGTAGGACTCTTCATCCCGTGAGGAAATGCGAGGAACAGTCACGTAGGGAACCCTGAAAAGAGGATATCATGTCTAAGATTTCTAGGAGGAGTTGGAGACTAAAGGTATCTCTTGCTCGAGAGCATGTGGATACACATCTTTTCACACTGCAGCCTGCAAGTGTAGCATTGGCATTGGCTCTGGGCCCTGCTGTCACATTGGTCATCCTGTCAGTTAATGAGAAATTGTTGTCAACAGGCACTGGGATATTTCTGCGCTTACCTTTCTGGCTTGCCCCATGTGCCACGCTCCAAAATCTGAGGAGTTCATGGAAAACAAAGCAGCTTGGAAAGTGCTGTATGAATTTCTCTGCTAAGAGGTTATTTTAGTTGTTCTCTTATTTTTACTCAACTTGGGAGATTCCCAGACTTGGTCAGGAAGGGGGCTGCAGACAGGACATGAGTGCACCATTGAGTTTGCTTTACACATTCAACTCATCCATTGCTTTTGTTGACCCTGGGCATGCTCAGTGTGCATGTTACCTAGATTACCAACGTGCAGCAGCTCTAATCATGTAAAAGGAAAGACTGCAGTGTATGGCCGTTGCTGCTTCCTTCAAGGATGTTATGTGAACCACTGAGGTGGTCGGGCCTGTCCAAGATGTCCTGTTGCAGAAATGCTCTCATGTCTTCAAGCAAAAGCTGCTTATTTCCAGCAGGTCTGCCTCTCAGAAGTTGAACAGAGTTGTCAGTGTTCCTCTTGTTGAACTATTACCATCTTTGGCAAGCAGGGCTGTAGTTGTTTGGTATTGTTGTAGTGTGCTCGGTATTTCAATACAATTCCAGAACAGTTATTAATAAAAGACTTCGTATTCTTCAGTGAAGACAGATAGCAAAAACTGACAATGCTTGCTGGTGAAGAATCTCTTGAATGAACTTGGATTTTGAGCAAGTACAGCAACTATGCTTTTCACATAGTAAGTCTTAACTTGTTGATATTCTTCCATGGGATTTGACTGCTTTGTGCTCTGTGCTTGGAGTCCCAGAAATCCAGGTAAGTACAGAAGTGTCGATGAATACCAATTTGTTGTCTTACCTTGGAATTGTTACTACCTAGTCTTCAAACAAATTTTATGAAGTACCCTTTTTCCCAGCACTAGTCTCACTTTCGGAATAAGGTATGCCTGTCAGGAAATAAAATTTTAGTCTCTTAAAAACAATTCTGTCAGCTTGCAGGGTGAACTTTATTGAATGCAATTCGCTTTAAATATGCAGAACTAAGTTCTGCTGTATCTTTCCACTGGACAATGAAACAGTAACAGGTAATTTATTTAGCTCAATCTCATTATTTATGAAAAGTGTGAGGACTGAGTTCCATTGCCATTTTTTGGCTCCACCCTTGATTGTTATCACCAGACAGCAGGGTTGAGATACTTTTCTCAAGAGCAACTGAATGAATAGTGTGATTTTTCCACAAAAAATGAGGCATTTAATGTGGGGTGAAGATAGCAACGAAGGAATGTAGTTGCTCTAAAGCATGGAATAAGGAACTCTTTGGTTTTAGTAAGTAAGAGCCCTTAATTTGTTTTTTATTTTTCCCCCAGACAAGACTGGAAACCTATGACTCAAAAAGGAAAACTGCAACACTTACTTAAATTCTGAATAGCAACCCTAGAGTCAGTAATCACTTCCTTCCACATGCAGGATTGGTGTTTGCAATGAGGTATATTTCATTTTTATCAGCAACATACTACAGCTGAATTCTGCATTGAGAACACATTTCCGGTAGAGTAATTCTTAATCATTGAGTCAACACTTGCAAAGGTATTCTCAAAATGCCATGAGATCATAGCAGTGTTTTTATCCAGAAGTGCAATACTTGAGTTTCTCACTCTTCCAACCTATGTAATTTTAATACTGCTGCTCAGCAAGTCTCAAGAATTTATATTCTCCTGCATTTTTCCAATATGGGGCTCAGAGTAAGTTAAGATCTCTCTTCTCACAGTACTAACAAAGTGGAATCAAACATGCCTGGATTTGTCTATTTAAGATTTATTTTAAATGTGACTCTGATGCTTAAAAATCGTAAGGAACTACAAGCTTGGTAAAATGAAACACGTAGGATCATAATGGATCAGAGGATGATTTGAATGATTAAAGATTTAAGTTTTAGTTACTAAAATCAAGAACTTTAACCCCTTTCAACTTGAAGTTACCTGATGGAAAAGTGACTGTTGCAAATAGAAGTCTACTTAGAAATGGGTTGTGCAGTTCTAATAACTTGCTGTAAGGTGCCATCTGCCGGTAGTTCAATAAGTAGGTCTTGTACTGGAAGAAATGTTAAATAGTACCTCAAATAGTTTTCTTACTCATGTAATAGATGCTGTAAGTCTATCCTTTTTCCCATTGAATATATTATGGATAGTATCAAGACTTAGCTGTATCAGACATCTTTCCTGTAAGTCACAAGATGTAGTGAGTTACTTCCATGTGGAAAGCTGTCAGGTAAAGGATATAACCAGCACACAGTGATGCAGAAATCAAGCTTGAATTCTGGTAAGTAGTGGGCAAAACTTTTATGATTGATTGAAGGTGGAAATCATGATTTTCCTGAATGTAAGAAAAGGTGTATGGCTTCTTGAAAAGAAAAACCAAAATGTAGTAATTAGATTTTACATGGGGAAGACAGTGAAGAATCAACAGTTTTGTAAGAAAGGCATTTATGTAAATTGACTAATTTTGCTGGAAGTTGGCTATTACAAAGTACTCAGAAATACTAATAATGTAGGATTTAAATATAATTTTTTAGTGTAACTGTGTTGAGAGCAAGGGGTTGTGCATCTGGGCAAGTTAAACAGGTCTGTAATTTTAGTAGAGATTTTACAGAAAGGAGGTTAACTCAAATGACAACAATTTAAGGGAGTAACTGGGTAGGATTGGCAACTTGGCAAGCCTGATGACGCTTGCTACCATGCAATAGCTTTGTGTATGCATGTAAGCATTTGCCTACTTCTTACATGCTGAAGGGCAGGAATAGAAGCTGAACTTTCAATATTGTTCAGTACCTATAATGCTGCAAGCACAACTTACTCAGTTGTCACTGAGAAAAGCTAGCTTCCCCCAAAAGCACAAATGCTCTACCTGTACAGACTGAGTCTACAATATTTTTAAACGTGCCAGTTTCCATTTTAATCTAATCTGCAAGATTGCAGTCATTGCGTTCCTCAAGCACAAACTTAAAAACTGGATTTTTGCAAGTTAGAAGTGTTCAGGGTGATAGCCAACTATGAATGTTAAGCAAAATAATTCCTCTAAAATAGTACAGCTTTAAAATGCTGAACAACCTTACTCTCATTTTCAATTAGACTGATACCTTTAAAGAAAAAACACCATGACTTTCATACAGCACATCTTTAATAAGAGTGTGTTATAAAAAAAGTAAGTTAAAAAAATCCCTGAAGCAAGAATTGCTAGTAGAGGTTGAATCAGGAAGTTATGTGTAAACAGCAGAGCAAATTCCCATACAGTCACTTATTTTAGTATAATTTCTTCCATCTGCATGGCACTAAGTTATTTCAGGAGTAACACTTTCAGTCATCCACTCCAAGTAATGCAAACCTATTACCATTGCATAAATGCTGAGTTTCTAGTATAGCACACCTGACAGTGTTTTTTTTCTTTCTAGATGCTTTCTTCTTTTTGCAGGACACAGATTTGGCCTTGCTCATCTTCTGAAAGAAATCTGGAGATACAGTTGACTGCACAGTATTTAGCAAAACCTGATAAAGCTGAGTCATTTTTGGAGATAAATTAAATAGATTTTCCACTGAAGGTGTCGTTTCAAGCTCCTGATACAGTCTGTGCACAAGGGTCCCACTGTAAAGCCTGCTCAAAGGAAGGAGAGAATCCTCATTTAGAATTGCACCTCAGCAGGACAGGTACAGAAACATGCTGCTTAGTGGGGAAAAAAAAATAAATCCTAACTATATACAGAATCCAACAGTGGGCTCCTGAAGGATACTTATTCTACTCAGTATTTTTCTCCATATTAATGTCTTTAAAGGAGTTCAAATGTAGTAAAATGGCCAAAGGAGTTTGACAGGAAAAAAGGTGAACGAATCCGATAGGGGGCTTATGTGGCAAGCAGATCTCTGAAACATCCTTACCTACTTAGGTCTGGCTCTGAGAGAGGAGTGCCAAGGAGCTGGTTGAGATACATTCCCATCTGAAGACAACACTGCCACTGGCAAAAACTGTGTGCAGCATCTAAATCAAAGTCTTCGTTTTGCAATTTCTTTTTCTTCCATTTTAGAAATTCATTATACGCAATACTGTCATCTTCAGCACATAAAACTGTGGGATTAATAAATAAAAAATGATATGCAAATAAATGGTCTGCTGTGAACAGTAAGAGAGGTGTCTGCAATATATAGTCTTCAAACCTCCAGTTCTATTTTGGGAAGCAATAATGTTTTCAAGTGTCTCAAACTGAATTTAAGACATAAAATTGAGGAAAAATTCAAGTGTCAATATCTGTAAGAATCTGAAATTGTAAAATCCAGAATTCTATTTTTTAAGTAATTTGCCATGCAGTTCTGTGAGTGGATTGATTCTAAACTAGATTTCCATCTTGCTCCTACCCACTTGGGAAGCAGATGGCAACCATGTCTGTTCAGCTACTATAGACCAGAACCTAAAGAAACTGCATAACCCTGGCAGGTGTAAGCTTTGCCATCAACTCAAGGATGACTCCTAGAAGGAATGGCACCTTATTTCTAATAGGTGTAAGTATTACTGAAACATTTTTTTCTGCTAATTTTGCACTTTCAAATTCTCTCAATGCACAGGTGGAGAAAAGGTGCCTGTGCAACTCAGCATTCTTAAGTACACATGATTTTAGAAAAGCCCATTAAAAAAATCGGACTGCATCAACAGTATTTTCTCTTTTGATTCATGAGTATGCCAAGCTTATTTTTGTAACTTCTATATCTAAATTATTGTTGTAGTCCTAAAAAACATTTATAAATGCAAATTAATGTTTTACAAGATGGAAAAGCAGTTTTAGCTACATAGAATGTTAAACTGATGGCTAGCACTGCTGCTCTGCTCTGTACTGATGCGAAGAATGTGACACCCCAGGATATAGCATAAATCAATGGTAATTCATCTGAATTTGGACAAGTCACCATAAATGAGGGAAAAAATGAATTAAGGTATAGATTTTCATAGCAGCTAAACATCTAAAATCATATTATTTGAAGACATACCTGGATCATTTGTTATCCTGTGCAGTTCTCCAGATACTATCATTAGAAGTAAAGCTTTTAATTGATGCAAATTAACTTTTGGTTCTGAACAATGTATCCAATAACAAGTTACAGCAACAGGGAGTTGTAAGTGACTGGGGATGGATTCTAGGAAACTCATTTTCACTCCTAGAGTCTCTAGCAAAAGTATTAGACGGCTTGACATGGGCACCTGAAAATAAAATGTAAAAAAAAAAATGGAAAAATAAAGACAAGGTGCTTTCTTTGCTGTGAGCAATTTTCAAAATGCAAATAAGATTGTGTTTAAACTATCTAACACTTCTTGTTTTCAATAAAAATAATTATGTTGCACAGATATTCAGCACAGGAAGCATTTTTTAAAATACTACTCAAGTAGAAGAATAAATTTCCTGAGGTTAGACTTTAAGAGGTTTCAGGCTTCAAATCAGGTAACAACACTCCTATGTAAAAGCTGACTAGCTTAGAAAACCTTGTAACCATGATCCATTAAAATTACTTTAGTATGGCAAATATATATATACATGCACAGATACATATAAAAAACCCTTCATTTTGTGTGTCTTGGAAGATCCCCTTGTGTTGTGAGGTATAATGGTGATGACTGTTCTTGATACATTGAAAACACCTATAATCACAACCAAATCTTCTTCACTTGCATCATATTAATTCCTAGCACATTCCTTCTTTGCTATTTAATTTCTAAAAGGTGACATTACAAACTTTGTCCATAACTTGAGGCATGCAGCAGAATCGCAGCGGGCTGTTCAACTGTAATTCAAGTGCTGTGTGAGCCTCAATTAGGATGGCTTTGCCCATTCTTAGGCAGACATCTCCACAGTAGAAGACAAACTGAATTTCCCTACAGCACTTCAAATGCAGAATAAGCTTTCTTCTAACCTTCTGTTGAATTGGTAATTCCCATATATTTAGTAAGGAGATTATAATAGTGGAAACTCAAATTCATTAAACAGCATACATACCAAGACCAAATTAAGGTGTCATGTTTCTTAAAATCTCAAATTATGATTGTTCAAACTCTTAAGTGTTTGCATATTGATCATTTAAAAAAACAAAACAACAAAAAACTTGGGTAAAATAGCTATGGATCCAAAGGCTTACATACAGGCTATCTCTAGCATTTAATGGCTGTAGTAGTGACAGGCTTGGTTCTTACATGAAATAGCCACCAGCAAGTGATAAAAACACAGCCCACACACAGATGTGTTAACATTTGATCTGAATGCCAGAACAGACAGAGCATATGACTTAAATATTCTGTATCAAAAGGCACAGATTATATTTCCCAGATGTGTTGGAAATTACTGCATACAAAACCTCAGTTATGCAACTCTGGGAATGTGAGATTACTTTCCATTCAGAGAAAGAGTTAAAAAGTCTCAACTGTTAGAATTTAGATATATAGAATTGCTAATTGTGACTGGAACTAACCTAGTGCAACTTTCCTTTGACTAAAAGCTGTGCTTTTCAGGTGCTGCTCTGTCTGCAAGCAGCAAGGACCATGATAGCCAGACACATACTTGTGGCAGGTAGAATTGCTGGACAGCTGCAAGGTTCATATATGAAATAATGGTGATTCTTAGTTACAAGTATGGGTCAGATATTGTTTCAGAATATTGACCTGAAACATGCATAGTTTGATCAAATGTGAATTAAGTTTTGTAGTGTTGAATTGCACTTTTCTAAATTCCATAAAACTGAGTTTCCTGAAAGTTATAAAATCAAATATTAGTTTAACAAAATATATAGTATGAAAGAAGTACCTAGAATGGAAAAATTTAGGCAACACTACATATACACGCACAACCATATTTTCCTGTAATTTGTCTTGGTACAACTGGGGATGGGGGGCAGATGATAAAGGCAACCTATGTCTCTTCTCAAGTATCACAAAGAAGCTCAGAACCCTGTAGGTACCTCTGGATAAAGTAGTTATTTACTGAGGTGGCTTAGTTCAGGCAGCACGTTTAGCTGACAGCTGGCAAACACAAGTTGCAGCTATTTTTTGTCACTCATGAAACACTGTTAACCATGATCTGTTGTGACAAGCATTTACCTCCATTAACTTGTCCAAAGAAAAATTATCATCATAAAAATCTGTGGGTAGGCTTGCTGCTTGAACAAATGTTTTTTTAAGTGTCTTTTGGACTCTGTCAAATTCACATACAACTGGCAGCTCGTTGGTCTGCTTACTTGGAGAAGCAGCTTCAGTACTTCCAGGTACTTTCAGAAGCAGTCCATAGATAACTTGTCGAATGGGCAAAGCTGTGCTATGTGCGCTAGGTCTCTGCATGTTCTCTACCTGAACATGGAGGAAGGTGCTTCTTAGTATCAGAACATTACTGATGAGCGGGGCCAGTTTACTTTTTGCCAAAGCATCGAGCACCCACTGCGGCAAGCCTGCTTTTCTGGCAGCCTCACATTCGTACTTTCTGTTCAGAAAAAAGTCCTCAAGATTCACATCAGACGGAGTATAATCCTCCATGGCGGTGCATAGCAGTGTCCTTATTTCTTCTCTCCGGTGTTCCTTAAGGTATTTCAGCACGTTGTCAAGAGCCTCCGCCGGCTCAGCAAACTGCGCCAGCCAGTTTAGAAGCCCCTGAAACCGGGCGTGCTTACCCCCCTTCCCCGCCGCGCACCCTCTGGGCCAGCGCACCTTGCTAAAGAACACCTCCAAGGCCGCCAGACCGATGTGGTCGTTCCCGTTCATGGCGGCAAAGAGGGGGAGCAGGCTCTTGTTCAGGCGGCTGAAGTGCCGGCAGAACTTCTCCAGGGAAAAGCAGCGAGCGGGAACGTAGCAGCCCTGCGCCCCCTGCTCTCCCCCTTCCCCGCCGCGCACCCTCTGGGCCAGCGCACCTTGCTAAAGAACACCTCCAAGGCCGCCAGACCGATGTGGTCGTTCCCGTTCATGGCGGCAAAGAGGGGGAGCAGGCTCTTGTTCAGGCGGCTGAAGTGCCGGCAGAACTTCTCCAGGGAAAAGCAGCGAGCGGGAACGTAGCAGCCCTGCGCCCCCTGCTCTCCCCCGCACACGCTCCGCCACTGGAAG